CCAGTAGATAGTTGTATGTCATAGCTGCACATCTTTCTAGTTGCTGTATGTGGGACGCGGCCTCAGAGTGGCCGGAGAAGCAGTGCCTCAGTGCGCACCCGGGATCCGAACCCTGGCCGCCAGCATCGGAGCGCACGCACTTAACCGCTAAGCCACGGGGCCGGCCCGGGATGGATGCTTTTTAAGGTTCTTGATAAAGATTGCCAAATGACCTTCCAGAAAAGTTATAACCTATTTTATTATATTCCTACTAGCAGCGTATAAAACTGGCCATCTCATTGAACCTTAGCTCACAAGGGTGGTTACTTTTTGATCTTTGTAAATATAATAAGTGAAAATGGTATTTTTTGAGATATAATTGACATATAACATTACATTAGGTATTTTATTGTTCTTAATTCACATTTTCCCATTTCTGAGGTTGAATAATCAGTGTTTTTTTAATTCACATTTTCCTATTTCTGAGGTTGAATATTCAGTGTTGCTACTTTACATGGGATTTAGTTTGATAGTAATCTTGTTTACCTAATATGCCCTCCAAAGTCATATAGGAAATCTTCCTTTTGTCCCTTAGGAGAAGGAATATTAATTTTTCTATCTCCATATAAATTCACTGAAGGTTTTTCTTTAATACATTGCCTGCATAATTAACAATTAGAGAGCTGAATAATTTAGATGAACAAGAACAAAAAGGGATCCTTCAATTTACAGAGTCTCTTGCTTGACTTTGTTTGACCGTGCAGATTTTGTCCTTAGTACCACGTTCAGAACTTAGTAGAGAAGGGATGCAGAGAGTAAGTTTCCATAAATCTAAGTTCGTAATTGGAACACAACGCTTTTGTAAGTTGGGCCTTTCATACACCATTGAGGAAATCCCCAAATGCAGATTTTTTGTTGATAAAATTTGTTTTCCAAAATATGTTCTCTTTGTTCTCACAGGCGTATTAAGTTCCTTGAGGATAGGAGTCACATCTTGTTCATTTTTGCATCCTGGGCATAATTCCGGGCACACAACAGGTGCTCAGTAAATGTGTGAATAATAGGCTCTTTGAAAGTGAAAAGATTGAACTTGGAGTTAGATGGCCTGTGGTTTTTTTCCCGTTAATTCACTTGCGCTTTAGCACCTTTGTAAATTATGTAACATCTTTTGAACCTCAGTTTCATCCACTCATGGATGTACTACTTGTTCATTTACTTCACAAAGTTGAGAAATAAATGAGATAAAATATGTTAAAATATCTTGTTAAATTAAAAAGTGCTGTGCAGTTGTGAAAGTCATCATCATCATCATTATTATATTTCTGGGAAGTACTTGGTAAAGAGTCCCGTTGTTAAGAAATTACCTGGAAGAGTATGGCAGAGACTGCTAGCTAATCACCAAAAATCCACTGTTTCCTCTTCTTCCGGGACCTACCACTGGACTGTTTCTTGGCTCCCTTGCATTTAGGTATGGTCATGTGACTGAGTTCTAACTAATGGAGTGAACAGAAGTAATGTGTGCCAATTCCAGGCCTGGCCCATAAAAACCTCTCATGAGGGTTCCTCCCAGCCTTTTTCTCCTGTCTGGCTAGAATGGAGACAACCTTCAGGGTAACCATGGAAGCCACCTGTTAGAGGTAGTAAAGCCTTCTTGAACTTCATATGCCTGCATGGAGGAGGGCCACCTGGTAGCTTCTTCACCCATCCAGTTCTGCAACGTGAGCAAGAAACAAACTTCTCTTGTGTTTGAATCATTATACATTTTGGAGTCTACTTGCTACAGCAATTAGACTCGCCCTAACTATTGTAAGGAGTATGCTAACGCATGCTCTACTTTTTCTTTAGTGCTTTACTTTTTCATAATCCTCTTCTAGCAGCCTTACAAACAAGGGGTAACTGTAAAGATATAAATATATAGACCTGTAGTCCACATACGTATATTCTATGACCTAAGATAAAGTTGAGGAGAGAATTATATTTTGTCATGTGAGACTTTTTGGCCTAGAAAAGTTAAATAATGAGGTTTATAACATTATTATTAAATTTAATTATATAATTTATATAATTTTCACTTTTTCATTGTTTGAGGCCAAGGTTCCAAAAGAATATCAAAGAGGAGATATCTCTTGGTAATACCTTACTTTAATTATGTTTAATATCTGAACTTTTTCTTTATGTTAAATAAATACTTAAGATATTATATATAGTAAAAATTTTTCTTAATGACAGTAATCATGCTGAGATTTTTTAAATGGTGATTTCTTTCTCTACAATGCTTTTTCTATTTATTAGATGGTTGTGACCCATTTCTTTATAAAAGCTTTTTGTTGGGGAGGGGGTACTGGTATCTAGACACACTCCAGAAATTGTAGTGCAAGACATTTTCTTCAAAATATGCATGTCTGTGGAACTCTGTTACCTTCCTAAGGAATATTGAGGAAATTAAAATATACTCTTGTCGTTGTATCTGGCAGCTTTTACCCAGAATTATCTAAAGTAACTGATAATACTGTATTCTATCATACTCCTAGTTGGGGAAGGAGGATGCTTTAAATGTATTTAGATTTCAGGTGGTACAATAATGTCTCTAATAGCAAGCACAATATTAATTAGTCTACTTATCTAGCAAAGTTTAGCACCTTTTACTTTCTAGAATATTTTGATTATGGAAATAAAAAAAATACCACCAAACATAATGAAAATAGCTGTCACAAAACCTACACACTTTACTGCCTAGAGAAGGAGCCTACCCTCTTTCATCTTAGACAATAAATTTAATTTTACGCATTATATTTAATAATCTGATTGCCCCTGGGAAGCTTGAGTTCTTCTGTGAGTTGCAGTTAATTCAAACCAGGAAACAAGCTGTAGACAGCAAATGAGAAATAGAGAAAGGTAAGAAATAAACCTTACAGTAGAGCTTTAAGAGGTAACAGGAAAGGACAGAGCAGCCGTAAGGAAAGAAGAAGAAAAAACTAATTGTATAAACCGGAGTCTGAGGGAATTGAGTGAATTGACAAACGGAGTCCTATTTTCTTGGATACCTTTTGGGAGTATTGAACTATTATAACACGTACGACAATTGATATTAAAAATTACTCCAAAACAGCAGCATAAGATATTTATGTTCAGAATACTTTTGGGTAGAATGTGAAGTACATTTTAGAGTTTCTTCAGAACTTATTATAATGAAGTTTCAGTGGTTCCCAATTATCTGAAAATTTTATTCAAATCGGAATGGCTTATTTCCTAACCAAATATCTACTAATTTTAAAAAATTAGTTCTTTTTAGTTGTGTGAAAAAAAGTACTTGATTTTTGATTGATGACTACCTAGTTATTCACCTTCAAATGCAGTTCCTTCAAATTATTACCCTTGGAGTGGTTTGGGTTCCTATCTAGTTATGACAGGAAGAGAACACATTTTTGCAGTCAAATTCCTTTAAGGAAGTCAAAATTTAGTGTAATTAGTAACATTTGAGTTTTTGCACTTTGATTTTTAAAACAAAATTTAATCTAATTGGTATTTCTTCATGTGATTTTCATAGATTTTTCAGAAAGATAATGTCTATAGTCTTTGTAACTATCGCTTGTCTAGAAAAATTGTATTTCAGTACAGTAGAAACTGTCTTCTACTTGGCTGATCATTTGTTTGTAGATACTTGCAGTGGGATGATAACTTGAAACTAACTAGTTGAAACTGCTGACATTTTATTTCTTCAGTTTATAAGTGGAGTAAAAAGGCATTACAGTTGTACTGAACGAGAAATATGTTTTATTAAAGTGACTTTGCAGGGTTATTCTTCCTAGCACACTGAAGACGCTCCCAAACAAGATCTACCACAGTGCCTTACACCTGGTAGATGTTGAAGAAATATTTGTTGAATGAATGAATGAATGAATGAGCATTGAATTTAAACTAGTTATCATCATTGTCATAGGAAACTACAGGCAAAGTTTCAGATGTCATTTATTAAAAAGATGCTTAATGGGAAAATATTAACCATTGTATACTAATTTTATTTATTTGTATCTGGGATACAGGTGGCAATAAAAATTATAGATAAATCTCAGCTGGATGCAGTGAACCTTGAGAAAATCTACCGAGAAGTACAAATAATGAAAATGTTAGACCACCCTCACATAATCAAACTTTATCAGGTATGACTTAGCCTTACACCTCCCCATGCTTCTCATATTCAGTTCTCTATTTTGCATATCATTTTTCTCTTTTGTGTTAGTTAGATAATTATATGCTTTTATTAAGCTGAGTACATCCATTTTTCTATATTTAAATAAAAAATTAGGAAATCAAAAACTACTAGTAGCTTAATTTTAAGTTGTCTCTCAGATTGTAAGTTATTTATTTAAAAAGTTTGTAGTTGTGCATTTATGATACTCTGCTTAAACCTGCTGGGTTTGATGATGGTACCATTAATGAGGATACGGCAGTTTTGCTTATCTAAAAAGTATACTGTTTGTGTTTTATGAAATACAAAGACTAAAATAGTATATTACTTAGTGGCATACTCTGAAATAGCTAGAGCCAAATCTTATACTTTGTTTGGGTTATTTTATCAGATAAAGTAAATGAGTCATTTTTTTAAAAATCAACTTTATTAAGATATTTTTGTAAAATAAACTGCACCCATTTCAAGTGTAAGCCATGTTTTTAAAAGGAAGATATTTCTCAGATTTTTGAAGAGTAATTCATGTTTAAGAATGATAACATTTTTTTTTACATTTCTACTCATTAATATGTAGAATTTCTGTATTGGAAAACTATTTTTAAAATAAAATGTTACAGTGTGCTAGCCTATGACTTTGATCTCCAAAGTATGGTATGTACACCCAATGGTATGCTAGACTCAGCCTGTACTGGCTTGTGAGAGCTGATCGTTCAATTTTCAAAAGTTTTATAGTCTGATTAACATCATGTTAGTAGCTCAAAATCAGTGATGGTTGGCATATTTATACCACAGAAATTGGTTTACAAGTCAAGGCCTTGTTTTTCCTCAAAGAGCTAGTGCTAACACACCACTGTATGCACTCAAATGGGTTAGCACAAGTGTCCCTTGGGGTATAAAAAGAAAAATACTAGAACTTCTAATTATGTTTATTTTTTTATATTTATCTTCTTGTGTGCATTTTATAACGTACAGCATATATTTATACAGTGGCACAAGTATGTAATTTGTGTCTCTGTATGTATATATTCATAAATACATGTACATGCATGTGTATGTATATATATACGCACACACATGTATATGCATATGTACATTCATATATATATTTGGCTAAACAACTTTTTTATTGATAGAGGTTTGCAGTTAAAAAGGTGTGGAGACCATTGGAGACCATTAGCATTACCATTAGCTAAGAATGAGAGACTATGGTGTGCCACTCAAAACAATTTCTAAAGTTCTAACACTGCAGAGGGCCTCTTATGTCAAATTTATATCAGAATATTTCTCCCTTTAAGCTTTATTTTATTTTTTTTTTTTACATTCCTAAAGAGGATACTTATGAAAAAACTAATCATATCCTTAGAAGTCTCTAATGAACCATAAGCCAACCTGAGGTTAAAACTACCGTAGTTCACATGATAATTCTATCTTTATTTGAATTAAATCAGTTAAATTGATTTCCTGTTTGACTTGTTTAGACCCAAATTGTAAGTAGCTCTTAGTTTTCTGGCCTGATAGGGAATAGTCCTAAACCTATATGTTAGAGCAAAATTAGTTTTCAGCCTTTCAGTAGGTAGCAGTTAAATTTACATTATTAGCATATGCGGGAAGGTAAAAAGATAAAGAGTGTTACAGAGAAGCACTCTAAAATTCACTCATGTTGAATCTATAAATTCATTTCCTTTCAGTTCAGTATAGTTTGAAAAATCACGTTTGTGACGATGACATGCTTCCTTTCTGAACCTAGAAAAACTAATTTAAACAAAAGTGTATAGCAGTGGAGTTATGAAAAAGCTTTTGAACAATGTTTTAAAATAACAGTACTTTGTAGCAATATTAAAGTATAGTAGGAGGAATATCACACTGTGCCAGATTAGCTAGGCTCCCAGCCAGATAAACTGAGCTCTGGTTTATTATTCTTTTCTTACTCAGAGTCCACCATATAACAGGGCTAGAAAAGTCAGTGAGAAGGTGGTAAAAAGTCGATCTTCAAAACTCCTATTAGCTCTATTAGCATTTCTCAAAATTGAGCATAACAGTCACCTGGGGATTTTGTTAAAATGTAAATTCTGTGTCACTAGGTCTGGGATGGGGCCTGAGATTCTGCATTTCTAACACCCCTGGGCAGTGCTGGTTCTGCTGCTGGTCTATGGGCCGCACTTGGATGAGCAAGGATCTAGATTTTTCATCAAAGTGTTAGCAAGAGGATATTGTCAATCTTGTAAACTTTGCCAGCTTCTGAATTGTTGATAACTTTGATACTTTTATTAGTTTTAATTTAGGTAACTCCATAGAATGTTGTGGTAAATTGCAGTCGTTTCCTGTCAGACTAATATGGAATTATTTATCCATAGGTAATGGAAACCAAAAATATGTTGTACCTTGTGACAGAATATGCGAAAAATGGAGAAATTTTTGGTAAGCACTTTTCTTTAAAATTTTTTTTAATTTGAAAATGTCATTAATCTTCATGAATGGAGTATTTTCTGTTAATTCTTCTGCTTGTTTAAGAGTTGGTAACGTGAATTAGAAATTTATAAGCATTAGAATATAATAAAATATCCAGTAAGCTAAAAATATGAAATTTAATTTATTCTCTTACATTTATGATATTAAAGCTATACTTAATTCTCTCATCTATGTTAAAGAGATTAGAGAATCAAAGATAGGGAAAAACTTGCAGTTATATGGCGAGGGAGATCTTGTTTCCTTTTAACCTTTCTTTCCAGGGGACAGGTCAGTCAACAAATATTTCTTGAGCTCCTACTATGTCCCAGGCATGGTACTAGGTCTGGGGGATACAGTGGTGACCTAAATAACACAATCCCTGCCACTGTATATCTGATGGTTTAGTAAGCTATTAACTGTAGCCGTAGGACCTCTGCAAGTCACTAAACCTCTCTAGGACTTGGTTCCTTTATCTTTGATAAGAAAGTATTTGATTAATTAGTTTCTATGATCCATTCTAAGCCTTAAAAAGTTATAAATATTAGTTCTAGCTTTCATCTATTTTATTTTTACTGTGTGGAGCCAGAACACTGTAGGTAGTTTAAATATTTTTGGTTTTTAACCTAAATTTAAGTCCAAAATGGTTTTTTCACCAGCTTTATTGAGAGATAATTCACATATAATATATTGCACATATTTAATATGTATAATTTAATGTTTTCACACACACACATGTGTGAGAAAAACCATCACCACAATCAAGATATCCATCACTCCCAAAAGTTTCTTTGGGTCCCTTTCTCTTGCCTCACCTCACCACCAGGCAATTACTTACCTGTTTCTGTCACTATAGACTAGTTTGTGTCTTCTAGAATTTTCCATAATCATACAGCATGTAATCTTTTTTGTCTGGCTTCTTTCTCTCAGTATAATTATCTTAAGAATTCATCCATTTTGTTGCATGTATCAATATATCATTTCTTTTAATTGTAAGCAGTATCCTATTTTATGAATATTCCCCAGTTTGCTTATTCATTCATGTGTTGATAGACATTTGGGTTGGTTTCAGTTTTTGGCTATTAAACATGAATTGTTATGACCATTCATATACAGGTCTTGAACTTACAGTCTACCTTCAAGGAATAGTCACCACTTCACATATAGTATAAGAACCTTATGATAATATACTTCTATTTTGCCTTTCCTGGCCTTTATGTTCTTGTCGTACATTTCACTTATACCTATTTTATAAAACATAAAATATAGTGTCGTTATTTTTGTTTAAGTAGTTAATTATGTTTTAAAGAAATTGCAGTTTTTTTTAAAAAATCTTATATGTTTACCAGTGGATTTACCATTGCCGCATCCCTATAAGTAGATGCGTGTTTTCATCTTCATTCTTTGTGTAGATACATATTTTTGTCTGGTGTCATTTTTTTCCTGCTTGAAGGATTTTCTTTAGCATTTCTTGGAGTGCAGGTCTGTTGGTGATGAAATTTTTCAGCTTTTGTATGTCCAAAATAATCTTTCTTTTGTCTGTTTTTGAAAGATCTTTGTACTGGGTATATAAGTCTAGGCTGACTTTTTGTTTCAGAACTTTAAAGATGTTGATCCACTGTCTTCTCATTTGCATTATTTCTTTTTTTTTTTTTTTTAATTTTTTGTTCATTGCAGTATCATTGGTTTATAACATTGTATAAATTTCAGGTG